AGATATTATCACAGATCATTTGTCTCCAGACAGCTTGTTGTGCTTCTGTGTGTCTGTAGGAATTTGAACTGAGAATGTCTAATATATAATCAGTATGTGGAAAGGAATATTTTATATTTAGATTATATTATGTAAATATTTTATGCTTTAAAATACCACAGTAAATGATCGAAAGTTCACAAACACCACTGGTTTTAAATTATGTTTTTAAAATAATTTGATTTGTATATCATTGGCCAAAGAAGGTGATATTCTGAGTCCAGATTGATCTGCTACACTGCATTGCTCTGGTTTACCATGTCATCTTGTCCGTTAGTATCTACAGATAAAAATGGATTATACTCTCTGGAATGGTCCATAATGTTAATGATGAACAAAGATTAATTTAGATTCAGTTTAAGATTTGTTGTGTCTGGATGCAGAGGGTAATGCTCTTAGATATGTGATTTTTGATCTAACATAGCTGTAAGCTCCTGCTGCTTTGTGAATCAATTCCACTCACTGTCTTTGCCAACTAATACTTTTGAAAACATTTTTGCTGCAGCTTCTTTTGCTGCTATTTTTTCACATCTGTATGCAGATAGATTTGCCCTTTGTTGCCTTGTGCTCAGTTTGTTTGTTGACTGCCACATTTCCTTTGTGGCTCTAGCCCTACCAAGAACTATGTTGTCATGCAGCTAAAAATGAGTGTAGTCTCTGGGTGGGAAGTGTTATAACAGGACTTTCACTGCAGACAGCATCAGTATTGGTATTATCATGGAAATGTTTGCTTGAACAGCCAAAAATTCTTTCTCACCATAGTGAAGGTGATGCAAGTAACATTCCTGCAGGCCTGTTGTGTTTGTATTTCTTTTATTGTGTAGCTTATGTGTTTCTGGGCAGTGATTCCTCTACAGTCTGAGTTAGTAAATAGTTAGTAAATAAAGTGTGATGTATGGTTTTGCTGTGACACAGGCCTACTTTTCTGTATGTGAACAGATGTTTACATACATCTTTCAGAGAGGGAATGTTTCTTATGCTCTGTATGGTTTTCTGTTGTGATGGCCCTCAATAACTTCCCTAGATGTGATGAGTTCTCTGATTCTAGTAAATCATTAGTATGTGGGTCATTCTCAGTTTAGGATAATGCAGCCTTCTGGCTACAACTTAACTTGTAAGGTTTATAGTAGCTGTATTCCATCAGTCAGTAATTTGCACCATGTGTTTTGTTAGAAAAATACTTGTAATAAGGTTCTGTATTCATCATGAGAAAAAAATGGAAATCGCTAGATTTTCTATACACAGGCACATAATGACTTTTGAAATACAGCATTGAGTAACCAATCTTGTATATGGAAGTAATTTCAGATACTCTGATGGCTTTTTCATAAGCTTATTGAGGAGCTCACAGTGGACTGACTATAAAATACTTTAAGGTGTGCCGAGTCTAATAGTTGAGTTCTAACACACTTTTTAAATTAATATTTTAATATCCATGTAGTAATAAATCTGGAATTTGTAAGCAAATCCCTTCATAGCTATTCTGTCTCCAGCAGTATGTTGTCCAACCACCATTTCTACTCTTGTCTATGTTTTTGATTAATTCATATATAAACTCTACAGAAAGATAATTGTTTAACCCCAGCCAGCAGCCAAGCCCCACAGAGACACTGTGGGATGAGGGAGAGAATGAGAAGGGTAAAAGCTAGGAAAACTTCTGGGTTGAGATAAAGACAGTTTAATAGGGAAACAGAATCCATGCACACAAGCAAAGCAAAACAAGGAATTAATTCATTGCTTCCCATGGCAGGTGGGTGTTCAGCCAACTCGATCAAGCCTGTTGGTTACTTGGGAAGACAAACACCATCACTCCAAATGTTCCCCCTATTTCCTTTTATCCCCCACTGAGCATGATGCCATATGGTATGGAATATCCCTTGGGTCAGTTGGGCTCAGCTGTCCCAGCTGTGTCCCCTCCCAGCCTCCCATGCACCCCCAGCCCCCTCGCTGGCAGGGTGGTGTGAGAATCAGAACTTGACCCTGTGCAAGTGCTGCCCAGTAATAACAAAAACAGCTCTATATTACCAACACTGCGTTCAGCAGAATCCAAAACACCAGCCCCATGCTATGAAGAAGTTACTGTGAAGAAAATCAACTCTATGCCAGCCAAATCCAACCCAGATTGGTTGCTTGTTAATTTCTTAACTCTCTTTTTAATTTCTAGTCTCATTCTTTAAGTATCCTTTACAAAATTCAGATGTTCAGGTGGTTAGACACATGCAGTGAATATCTTAACCATTTGGTAAGCTACAAATAAACAGTTGAAGTCCTATGATCACCAGTTAAATAAGTTACTGGGATTTGTACCCTCAAAGCATTAACTCATTTTTCTCTCCTAATTTTATTTTAATGTTGGATTATTTAGAAATTATCTTCAAAGAAATAAGGACATATTTGCACCATTTTCTTTATAATGCTAAAAAGAAAATACAGTTTTAGTCTTTTAAATATACATCTGAACTAAAGCTGTTATCTGTACGATAAAACTTGAAGGTTGTCTAGAAAACAAATCCAATTATGGCTTAAGCACTTGAGAAAGTGAAATCTGATTTAATTACTTCTTTCAAAAGAAAATTACATCTTTCAACATTTTATTATTAAAACTCTAGTTATTTTTATCACTCCAAAAAAAGAACAAGCTTGGAAGAGAAATTCCCTTCATGGAGTTTACACTTGAGTCTTTGCTACTTAATACACCAGCTGAAAATTTGAGTCCTTGTACAAATTCTGATTGTCTAGAAAATAAGCTTTATGTTAGATAGTATTTGTATTCTTAGCTATAAGAAAAATTTAGTTTAAGCATTAAAAAGAGCAAAATGGGCATGATTTTTGTTTCATTATCTTTATTAAAAGGTCATCCTTACTGCTGAACGTGCATAAAAATAACAGCAGCCTTCACCAAATGCAGTGAAAGAAAATACACTGGCATTAAAAAAGTTGAAAATGATGAAGCACATTTTCAGAAACTGTTTGAGGAGGTATTGTAGCTTTACATGTAGCTTTTCATTTGCAGGAGAACTAAGTACAGGGCCATTGCCTTTGCTGCTGCTGCTCAGGTGAGATCTACAGCCTCTGACCACTCCTCAAGAGAAGGGGCTACAGGACAGACAAGGGATGAGATCTAAGACTTTACCCTATGCAAATAAGATTCAGATATTTGCTCCAATCCCATTTGCCTCCCTGGCACAGCAGTACTTCATGTATATACATTTGGCTTAGTTTCTGAATGTAGAATCAAGTATGATAACCAGTTACCTCAAGGGCACATTTCTCAGGAAATTAAACTAGAAGCTACAGACTTTATACATCTACATTAAAAGTCAGGAGTGGCAGATAGTCATTTTATTGAAAAATCATGAAGATAATTTCAAATTTAGTCATTTATCACCCTAAAGGAGCAACCAGTGACATTTAATTTCTCGCTGGGCAGGATTGTAAGAGATGCTAGAGAAGGGGGTGAGGAAATCGATGTAATTTAATATAAATTGAGATAAGTTTTAAAAATTTTAATGTAAAACCAACCCAAAGATCTCTGCAGATAAGCAAAATGATGTTCTACTCTCTCCTTTAAAGCCTAATAAATGCATAATGCTGATCCAAGGGAGTATCACCCAATTAATCCTACTGTTTTTGATGGAAAGGATGAAATGCTGTGAAGATGTTTGTGAAGACTAGTAGCCTTAGTCTTAAAATGGCACTTAGTTAAGTGCCATTTTTATGGCATTTAAAACAATTAGAAATGTTATTTAAAGTCTATTGTATCTTCACTAGACACTGACTTCTTTTGGCCAATGATGTTTAAGATATCTTAGTTTTAACATAAAAAATGGATGGGTAAAAGGACTAAGCAAAGGGAAATTTGTGTGAGGAATAGAATTATGCTGCAAGTGGAAAGGAAGAGAGAGATAATATTTGTATGAAGAAACTTCCTGTGAAATAGTCAGTAAAGGGTTTTGTCTCCAGGTAGGATGGAACACACATTTCTATTGCCATGTATCATGTAGATAATCTTTGAGAAGTGAGACCTCAGTGTGTATGTTGTGGTTGTGCCCTGTAATCTAAATATTTTTGTATTACTTCAAATGCTACTCCTAAGTAATAGTAACCATTTTCCTTCGTATTTGTCAGTTTGCTCCTTGAGCATTTATCTAAATTAATTTTGTGTGAACTGAAAATACTTTTTTTACTGGACCTTACTGCTGTTTACTGCCTAAATCAGAAAGTATGTGGTGATAGACAATATTCTGGTGATAGACCAGAAACTCTTTTGAGTTTTTCACTTTTGAGGGAAGTGACTCAGCAGGACAGGCTGCTAGAGGAGAGAGCTAGATACTTAGAAATGTGAATTCCATTTCTGACTTGGTGAGCACAAGTGCTCAGGTTAAATATGTGAGTTTCTAACCACATACGTTGAATTTTAATCAGTAATGCTGAAAGCTTTTCCTGCTTAAAATACTTCTGTATTTATAATGCAGGTAATTATCATATTAGAAGAATAGTCAATAATTTCTTTTAAAAATATTAGAATTACAACATTGTGCAATTTGCATATTAATATGCAAATTATATTCTAAAAGTATTGTCTTTTTTTTGTGTGGTGGTGATTTGAAGTACTGGCAAAAATTACAGTTGGAGTAGCATTAGCAAAAGGATGTCAACTCCCTTAGTAGTCTAATGGAGATAACAGGGTCACTCATGGGTTTTTGAAGTTAATCTCTGCATGACTCATCAATCTTTCAAAGCATAAAATGCTGTTTCAGCTAAATCATAAAAGTAATATGATATTTTATTAGTGCTTGAACTACAAAAGGCCTTTGACTATTTCGTTGAGATGCACATAGTAAATCTAATATTATTTAAACTGTAGAGCAAAGCAAAAGGTGTGTTACATACGATTTTGGTTATGATTAATTTTACCAGCAATTTCATAACTGTGTCCTTTGCTTGTGCTCCACACACAGGGAGTTGGCCTCTCAGTTCATGGACATTTTCGAGTTGCTACAGAAAAGACACTTTTTGCCATGCCTGAAACAGCAATAGGTAAGTATTTGAAGATACTATCACATGTTCATGTGTTGGAAGTTTCACTGTTTGTGTAATGAGGATGAAATGTCTTTGACTGACATTTTGACTGGTAATGAAAGAATTTTAAAGGGAATTGGAGATGATCGTGTATGGAAAGTATTTTCTGTTTGATTCACAGACACTTAGGTCTATTCTGGGAGTTGATCAGTGAGGGTCTTACCTGTCTAGACTGACACAAAGTTTGTCAGGATACAGTATTTTACAAATGGACTCAGACCCAAGGAACTAAGTCTTGCTACAGATGTAGGCAAGATAAAGTCTGAAGATCCCAATGCAGGTATGTCAGCTTCACATTGGGAACTCGGTATGAGTCAAACCAGTTGTACTACAAGCTGATCTGCAAGGGTAATGAGACAGATTTTGAAATTGCAGCTTTTCTTGTAGATTATTAATGTAGACCCATTACAGTTGCACACAAATTGCATCTAGGCAGGATCACGGTGTCTTCAATGTTGCCTTTGTTTAAATACCAACGTGCACCTTGTATTTTCTACTGTTTGATCCTACAGTTTCTTTGTCAACTCTGAGATACGTACTAAAGAAAATGTGTTGTGGTATGGCTCAGGAAAAGTCAGTCAGATTAAAGTAATCCTCCTCATTATTTTAACTCCTAAAAAAAGTATTCAAGCAATTCCTGCTTGCTGATAAATGTATTGTAATCTTTCAGAATGAGTAAGTTTGGAATAAGAAAAACAAAAGCTGTTGCAGCCCTCCAAATATTTTTCTGTGCTGAAGGAAAACTTAGTAAACGAAGTATCTTACGCATTAGTACAACGTGGATTTACTGAACTCTGAAGTTTGTTGCACGTGAAAACCATTTGAAGGAAACAGTTTGTATTTGCTGAAAAGCTAAACCTTTGTTTTAGTTTTTAGGTTCTTTGGCATATAAAATTATTCTAATAGTAAAAGTACCTTTGCTTTCTTCTTCAAAACTAAAGATATGACAGGTTTTATATTAACAAAAATTATGTACTTTACGTACATTTCTCATGGAGACAAGGACTTATTTAAGCAAAAATAGACTGTGAAGATATGTAAAGGAAAAGCTTAGAACTTGCTTAGAAAAGTAAGTAATTAAACCTCTTTTAGGATCAATTAGAAGTAAACCCACTAAAATCTGTTTGGGTTTAAAGGCTTAGCTGTTTTGATCTCTGTGGTGCCTGTTTGAAATGCCCAGCTCTCTAGATACTGTATTAATTGATTTTTTGCCACGTTCACTTATTTCAGTAGGCATGACACCTTTGCTGTGAAAGGGAAACAAAGCATTCTTTCTGCTGCTACCTTTTCTCACAATCATTCTGCATTTATACATTTATATTGATAAATATGCCATTTGGCAAATAGAAAGAAAAGGCAGTTCTAGATTGCAGGAATTTGCAGCTGACACAGCTAAGATAAGGCACTGGAAGGCAGCTTAGATGTAGGAGGGTGGGGAAAAACCACTGTGGGGAAGAACAAAAGATGGAAGTATGTGGTAAGAGGTGGGCTTTGAGGTGATGTTACAGTAATAATGAATAGTTTCTTGTATGTCCCTCCTAAGTTTGTAGCTTTCTAGAAGTCATTTACTAATAAATTCCCAACCACCTCTGCCAGTTAAGGTAAGAATATAGTAGCACTACCTTTATCTTATGCTTGGCAAGTGCAGAGTTGCACCATTGGGATTACAGTGGAGAGTGTTGCATCTGTCTCAGAGTACAGACTGCAAATCAGCATTTCAGGAATAGGCTCAGAGCCTGGTCAGCCCAGCAGTAATACAGCTCTGCTCTTCTTTAAGTCGCATGTGAGAAATAACTGGTAAAATGTTATCGAAAGAAAACAAAAAATCAAGTATAATGTATGGAATACATTGAGAGCACCCCAGTACCTAGAAGAAACATATGGGAAGCATTATTGAGAGGCTTAGGAGGAACATGTAGAACATGGACAAGAGGAGTAAAATTATAAGAAAAAAGGAAGACTGGAATGTTGAAAAGGATACACTAGAAGCTATAGCAGACCATGTTTATTCAACCAAGTAAGTTTAAAGTGGGTTGGCTACACCTTCACAAATCCTGTTTGTAAATTCCTTCACAATTAAAGAAACCTTCATTCACCGTAGGGTTTATTTGCCTCTAAAGCAACTTAAGCTAATTGACTTCAGTTTATTTAGAACTAATTTGCCTGCATACAGCCAAGTGGGAGGGCACTATGGATCCCAATAAGATCATGTATTTCTCTCTGGAAATTTACTGGAGCATGGGGAGAACAATAGTCCACCAATCAGTCTTATTTTAATTACAGCAAAAGTAAAGATTGTTCCTGTTGCATTTTTGGTAGATGGGGAGAATAATGTAATTGCCTTTTTTCATTTGAAGAGTGTTTTTAAGAGAAGTTTCATTTTGAAATGGGGGTTTTTTTCAGTAGTAGGATATCCAAAGGGAGATAGATCAATAGAAACATAAACCTAAATACAGGTCTTGGCATCAGTGTTATGGTGGCTCAAACTGAGTAGGTAGAATGTAGAATAGATTACTGAAAATGTGAGTACAGATGAAAAAGAAGGTAAGTGATAAATTTGGGTTAATACAGCTTAAGGCTTTAAACAGGTATCAGCAAAGCATTCAGCACTTCAAAAGAGTTGTATGTCTCAGTAGTCTGTGGGATAAGGAGTAAATCAGTTAATGACAGCACACACATCAGTGGGAGGACAAGTGTGACTGATAGGAAGTGGCTCCTAAAACCAACTTTTCGATGTTTCAGAAGCAGCAGAACAAAGGGAGAACCAAGAGAAGCTGAGAGATGGGTTAGATATTAAGATTATTAAGAAGAAAACACTGAAGAGCAGCTGTCTAAAGGAAACATCCCCTTGATTCTGTCCCAAGAAGACTATTCCAGGACCACTAATTTCCCACATCTTAAAATACTTGTAATAGGGTGTTTCCATTATACATACATTGACTGTTTTGTGACTGGCAGCAATTACTTGTGAGTGAAAAATTATCACCTTCTCTCAGAAACCCATTTAAAATCCTTACATGCATCTTAATTTTCCATGTTAATCTCTGCTTTGGCAAGTGTTTTATGAGTTTCTTATTGCTCATTTTTACTCTTTTTCATTTGTTTTCACGATTCGTTTACTCTCTCAACCCAAACAAACACCACCACACCCTTTAATTTGTTCAAAATACTTCCAGTTTCATGAATGCACCATTGGTGATGATTTGAAAATAGTAACTGGACACTGCTTTTATCTGTTCCAATTTCTGAGATCAATATAGCTAAGCTAAAGTTTTCTTAAGTAAACATGTTACAAAAAAATTATTTTGTCAGTGATCAATGTATATAACAGAGGGTAGATATTTTTCAATTACAGCTTTTTAAAGTATTTAAAATTTTATTCACAGCTTTAAATTTTTAAGAATTACCCTAATTTGTAGTTTAAAAAATATATGTGTAAGACAGTCACTAAACTGGAGAGTTCCATAAAATTTTTACATTTTAACCTAGTCACAGACCTGTCAAAAAGCCAGGTCAGCATCTTCCACCTTCAGGAAGACCCTGGTAAGATTGTTGATCTGTTTTGAATTCTCAGCCCCAAAATTTGTTCAAACTAAGGTGTGCAAGAGGCACTTCATCACTGTTTGGTATTTATATTATAACAAAAGATTTCAGAGAGAAAGCAGCATCCAGCTTGAGTCGTACAAATTATTTCACAATTCTTTGTGTCTCTGTTGGTTTTTTGCTGAGAGCACATTAGATTTTTTTCAAGCACCTAAAAATGTCTCAAGTTGTTGCTGAGTATCATAGTTCATTAAGTGGTTGGAATGGACCTCAGAGATCACCTAGTCCCAACCCCCTGCCCTGGGCAGGGACACCTCCCACCAAACCAGGCTGCTCAAGGCTTTAGCCAACCTGGCTGTGAACACTGCCAGGGTTGGGGCATCTACAGCCTCCCTGGGCAACCTGTGCCAGTGTCTCACCACCCTCACAGGAAAAACTTCTTCCTAATATCTTAAATTTCCCTCTTCCAATTTATCTCCCGTGCTCCTAGTTCTGCCACTGCAGTTCCAAAACAAGCATCTTTCTCCAGCTTCCCTGCAGCCTCTTCAGATCCTGGATATGTTTGTCAAGTATGTGCTAGTGCAAAGGATGCAGTTTAAAGGTGTTCAAGGGTTAGCTTTTAGGAAGGGTTTTGATGACAGAGAAATGTCAAACCAAGTCAAGGAAAAGCATGGGCAAGGTTGCTGTGCCTGCCAAGGAGGTGAAAGTGAGACAAGAAGAGATAGCTACTTAGCAATGATAAGCACCATTTCTTCTCCCTTCACTTTGGTCTTGTGTTGTTTATTACAGGCCTTTTCCCTGATGTAGGTGGAGGGTATTTTTTGCCAAGACTCCCAGGAAAGATTGGCTGTTACCTTGCACTGACAGGATGTAGGCTGAAAGGAAGAGATGTACTAAGAGTTGGCATCGCCACACATTTTGTAGAATCTGAAAAGGTAAGGTGCTAACCAATTCTGCCAAGGACACAGCCTGCAGCCACAGGGACAGGTTTGAGTTTCCTGCATCCCAATATGCTTTTAACTTGAGTGTCTGCAGAGGTGCAGTTATGTTATCTGGCCATGCCCTGTGAACAGGGATGGTAAGATCCTCTCAAGGTGTAGTTCTGACACTTGCCAGCTAGTGACAGCTTTGCTTGGAAGAAGGAGCAAATCTTGCTGTCTTCACAACTCTACTGCTGAAGGGCATGATCTACTCAATGTAATGGAAGTTGCTTGAAACATTGTACAATTTAGACAATGGTGTATGAAGTTTGAGATTAATACAAAGTTTTCAACACAGGTAACACCCCATTAAAGTGTTCTTTATCAATCTCCTTAACAGGTATCCCACTTGTTTCTTACAGTGCCTGTAAGGAAGTGTAAAAATTAGTATATTTGATAAACTCAGAGTCATAATGTTCCAGTAACTGGCATGGACTTAAGGAGAAACTTGCTTTCCTTCTCTGTGTGAAGACCCATGACTGTCATTGTGGAGCTGGCTAGACATTATTTTGAGCATAGCATTGCTGTCAGGCTCCTGCTCTTTCCTCTCAGACTGATGTAAACATAGCGCTGCATTGGGGGCTGCTTGGGAAGCAGAGTTCTTTGCTCATCACTGCAGACAAAATTAAATTTATATACGTAGCAGTAATAATCCAAGTAGTACATTTTGTTTTACTTACTTGTAATTAAATCTTATTTCTCATAGCTACCTGCCTTAGAGAAAGACCTAATAGCACTGAAATCTCCTTCAAAAGAAAATATTGAAGACTTACTGAACTCTTACCACAAGAAGGTAACTGAAATCAAGCAGAATTGTTAAATACCTGTAAAGATATTCCTATTTTAGCCATGCTGCTTTTTTATGGTTGAAAATAAGGGTTTTCCAAACTCTATGCCCTCTATGTAATATGAATTCGTAGCACTAATGGCTACAAAAATTCAAATTGAAGAGTCCTTCTTCACATTTTATTCATTCTGGATACCTCAAAAATTCCTTAAGTTTCCAGACAGTAGCATGATGATGCAGGAAATAGATTACTGCTTAATTTTTGCCATTATCCTTGGATTTCTATAATGCTTTTTGCCTTATATAAGGCAAAATAGATAGCCACTAGCAGACTGGGAGTTGTACATGGTGGCAAGTGTGATGTGGGGAGTTAGCCTGAAATTCAGGGATTCTGACAAACAAATAACAGGGTAGAACTACTGGCCTAGGCTGGAGCCTGCAGAATTCATAGTGCCAGTTATTGAAGGCTGCACTGCTTACTTGGAAGTGGATGCTGTATTTCCATCCCAGAAACTTTATTGACCTGAAAAAATGTCTTGCTAGCTTGGTGCATTTGGCATAAATTTTAGCATCATTTTGTTGCAGACCATCTGCTGTCCAGATTTGAAGACTGAACTTAGAGGCTTAAGTTTTTCCTTTTATTTCTCAAATATTTTATATGTTTGTAGCCTTGAGACAATTGAAAGACTGAAAAGCACAGCAGTTATCAGTAGGATAACTATTGGCAGATACACTGTAGGGAGAGCACCTGAAACCAGTGTTTTCAGGGGGAGGATGGTGCCGTTTGCTCAGACAAACCCATACATAATACTCTGTTGTGATGTTGGAGGTGAATGGAACTGGATTACCAGTAAATAATTTGCATTTGTGTTAGCCCCATGTAACAACAGGCATGAAAATAAAAGATTTTGGCTTTACAATCAGTGGCTATTTTAACTGTTCTGATGTACATTCTAATTTTATTTCAAAAGAAAGAAAATTTCTACAGGCAAAGCAGAGTGTTACTCCCCAGTTGTTTGGCTTGAAATTGAGCAGTGTCTACCTTGTTATTTCTGTTTTGGAATCACTAAGTTCATATATAAAGATTAATTAGAAAAATAAATGGGATCAGCTAATTAACATAGCAGAACTGATTATTTTCACAAAATAGAAAGCTGTGGAATAGGAACAGTTGCAGCATACAGAAAAGGAAGCTGTGTATTTTTAGTTACCAGAGCTGAAATGACAGAACCTTCCTCAGCTTCAGCTGCTGTTCTGAAACATCTGTATATGGCCTAAACCCCTTAATGCCAGAAGATGGGAAACATTTGACAGTCTTTCCATATGAGGCCACTGGATCTTTCACACAATTTAGCTGTCTAAATAAAATTTTGTAAAATAACATAGAAGAGATAAGGATGAAAAAATTACCGTTTTTTGGTCATTTTAAAAAATATATGTATATGCCTGTATGTTTTTAAATAAAATAAAACTTGGTTTTGAGTAGATTCATCTACACTAACTTTCTTAGTGTATTTTATAGAAATGATTTGACAGAATAATCATAGTTACTTGTGTGCAGCATAACCACCCAGACAAATATACATCCATAGTAGCTCAGAGCAAGCACTGCATCCTTAACATTCACAGAATAAAGTGGCAAGTTCATTAATACACACTGCACAATTGTAATTCATAAAAAAAGTTACTGTCTTATGAATATTGCAGGTTAATTTATGATATTATGATATTTCTGCAACACAAGTCATGGAAATTTTTCAGTACTGATAACCTTTTCAATCTAAAATAACCAAGTCAAATATGTACATGTTTTTTAAACAGAGCACAGCTGATCAAGATAAGGAGTTTGCACTTGGAGAACATATGGAGAAGATTAACAGGTATTAACAGCAATTCTTTTTCATTTTTTATTATTGTGGTTAGAGAACATTAAGTTAAATCCAGTAACAGCATTCCACAGATAAGGTGAGAGAAATTACATTCAGGTTTAAGTAACTAACTGTTTAGTCTTTAGGGAGCTTTATCTGAAGTTCATTAAATATTTCACTCACCAGTATATTAAATACTTGAGCATATTTGCCCGATTCACACACCATTATATTAAGCAACTACCCTATGGCACATGAAAATGAATATTTTTCATAGAAATTGGATGAGTAATTGTTCAGTTGAACAGAAAATATTGTGTAGCACATTTCTATTCATTTCTGTCATTGTTTGTAACTTCTGTGTATCAGAAAGGGAAGGATAAATAAGTGAGAGAGATAACAAACAGCTAAAACTCTTGAACAGTGGCAGTAACTAAGTATAGAGACGTAAGATGTTGACACCAAACCAGTAGAATGGAGTTGATAGCTAAAGATTTGATGTGTTGTGAAAATACAGGTAAGACTGATGGTAGTAATGAAAGTTTCTGGATAAAGATCAGAGTTTGTAACTGAAGTTTATTGGAAGGCTAGAGATTTGCAGAGGGAGAGGAGATGCCTGACAACTGAGTTACCTGAAACTGAACAACATGGAACACATTGCTAAGAAAGAAAAGCCAAATCAGCTGGTTAGGCTCTGTTTCTAACTCTTCCTAGGGAACAGGAAGGCTGAAGCAGTTCACTGAGTAATTATTTTTTTCTTTTAGTATTTTTTCAGCAAATAGTATGGAAGAAATTGTTGCAAAATTAAAGCAAGATGGTTCTCCTTTTGCCACTAAGCAGCTAGAGGTAAGGTGTTCTGTGTTACCTTTGTTAAAAGTTAAGTCTGGTTCTGTGCTTCCTTATCATGGGGCAGACTTTAGGCACCCTGTTAGCATAACTAATACTACATGACACCAATAGGACACTGGAGTGAGATCCTCAGGTTCTCACATATAGTCCTGAGAAATTGTCAGGAGATCTACTCAGACAAGAGTATTTCTCTGTAAAACCACACAATGTGAGTACCATCATATGGTGCACAAAATTGCAATCTAGTTAAAAAAAACCCTCCCCTTTTCCCCTCCCCACAATCAGGGCATTGTTGGGGACAAAGATTTCCTCTATAGCTTCTCATTTTATTGCCAAGAGTTGGAATCAAACAGTGCCAGACCAGTGGTAGTGTTGTTCTTCCATTCCAGATATCTCCTTTGGGTAAACAGCAAAATATTTGTTATCGCAAAGTATTTTTTGATCTTTTTAATGCATTTCTGACTGTTGGATATAGTCACTACTGAAAAAAATGCAAAGCAATACTACACTCAGTACACACTTCAGCCTCAAAAACAAGAAGCAACTTATGTTCATTTATACATAATATGTGTGTTTTCATTTTTTCCCCTTGAAGTATCTCTATTCAGCTGCCTTGTAAGAGTTTGATTTGGAGCTAGTGAAATATTACTTATAATTGGATGGAGCACAAGCATTTCTCCAACAGTGTTGGTTTAGCTTTAGTTACAGCTCACAGAAGAAATTCTGCTTTCATAGTAAAATAAAACATCCATCATCTTCTGACTTCATTTGATGCTTTGGCTAACTACATATTTTGTCAAAGCCATTGTTCACTGTGGGTGTCCAAATGCATTGGTATCTCAGAAAGAATATGATGGGTGTCTTCATCTATTGCAAGGGAAATGATGCACTGGACCTCTGGGATGTTTTTTTAAGTGAAAGAAAGTCACTATTCCAGCTATTATTCTTGTAAAGGACTCCACTGAGTCAGTGCCACTTAATTCAGTACCTTCTGATAGTATCTTATTGGCATTCAGGTCTATTGCAAATTCAGCTTGTAGCTTTCAGGATCATTACCTTGAAATCAAGATGGTCTGAAAGATACTGGAATACATGTCAAATACTTGTATGAAGACTTTTTTGCATTTTAGTACTCTCCACTCCCGCCTATCCTGTCTCTTTTTCAGGCTTGTTCCCTAGCACCAATCCCCTCCTCTTTGTACAGAGAATTTATTTATAGATACACTGGTGACTCATTTTTCTGCAATTACACCTACCCGTTTTCTTGCCTTATTCCTCTTCCTTCAGCTTGATTTATGGCAGCACCTCCTCCAGCTTCAACCTCACTGATATGCCAAGATGAGTAGTCTAGTGCCTCCAGCAGCTGCCTTAACTGCTGTTTGCAGATCTTCCCCATTTCAATGCTTTCTTTGACCAGAAAGAACTTGCCATTACTGTTTCAGCTGTGAAACCATCTGGTTGTGCCATGCAGACCATTTAATCTGGTCTGAGCAAAGACAAAATGACAGAATGTGCAAGTCAAAGGAGGAAAGGTCCAGCTGAAAGGTAAATCCAGCAAAAGCATATTACAGGAAATAAGGGGTCTAGTTAAGAGCTGCTGCCCACCTGAGACCTACAGAGTGATGTAATTCGAGGAACAGCAGATTTCTTTACCTGCTGAAAGGCAGGTACTGTTAGCTTGACCAGAACTTAGGAACTGTTGGCAGTTTGAGCCAGCTTTATTTCTCTTTCTCAGCCAGCTTCTCTCTCTCACGCAAAGTAGTCAACATGCAAGCAACAGAATGACAGAACCAGTGTTTTAAGGCACAATTGCACAGCTTCCTGCTTTTATAGCAATTGCATGTTTTCCAGCTTAACTAGGCAAAATGGGTCACTGCTGTATCAGCTGGTGTCTGGAGAGGGATGAAGAGTAATTGGGAGCTAGGAAAAAATGTTTCTGTTGATGACTGGAAACCTGCCATTTCAGTCTGTGGTAAGGAGCCTAATGTCTGCAATGCAAATAACATAAAGAGGCAAATCTTACCATCTGCTGCTTTTCAGTAGTGGTTAAAATGTCCTAATTATCAGGAAATGTCTGTTGTACTGTGAATGATATAGAGCTTTCAGTTGGGTTTACAGGGGAAGAGTCTTGTTTTGAGTAAAGAACAAAGCTGAGCAACAGTAAGAGTTAACTCCTTTTCCCCTCAACTCCAAAAGCTTTGAAGCTAAGTCCTGTTTTCTTAACTAGGTTTTTGCCTTTCTCCCCACTTCCCCCTACAATTTACCAGCATGCTCTTAATCAGAGGATTCCCATAAGAGCCAGATTTACAGCATTTGTTTGTGTGCCTCAAACAGATCCTGTCTGTTGCATAATATTTACAGGCAGTAGTTCTGTCAAAAGAAGGAAGGCAAGACCTCCAGGCTTCCTATCAGCAGAGCAATGTAGGGCTAAATTACTGCAGTATCTGTTGATCCCAGGCACAAAGCCAGGATAAATACGCATTTATGTTTGATTTATTTTAACATTTCTTCCACATTTTTCTTCCTTGCATGTTGTGTAGTCTTTGCAAATGTTCACAACCCCTTAAAGTTTCTTGCTAATCTCACTATTATTATCTTACCTACTCTGTTGTACCAAGTAAGACTTCAATGCTCTACAGTTCTCGTATCAGCTACAATATCTGTAGCATCTAAGAAGCAAATCAGACTGCATATATGATACTCAGAAATGAAGGATAATTCCTTGTAACACTCATATTTACTTCCCAAAAAGTTCTGTTTGGAAATGGCTTTCAAACTGCATTAGATTCTCTGGCTGGTAGTAGTTTGATTACAAATGATGTGACCTTAGGAGTTCTAGGCTTTCCACAAGTGATGGCATACATCCCAGAGATCTTGCTGATGAAAGTTTATGCAAGGAAGTTCATTTAGTGTGACAGCATGGTGGGAGGGAGCAAGAGGAATAGGTGTCACACAAGCGAGCTCAGGGAGAAGAGTGCCATCATTTACTTCACAAAGTCTAAGATGCATAAATGACAGACTTGCAAATGTGTCTAAATTGAAGAGAATAAAAACAATGTGACTGTCTTCCCCAGACTATTAATAAGATGTCACCTACATCCTTAAAGTTGACTCTCAGACAGATCAGAGAAGGAGCTTCCATGAGCTTACAGGACGTACTCAGGATGGAATACAGGCTGAGCCAAGCATGCATGGTAAGCAAGCAGTGACCCTTCTCTCTTGCCAGTCATGGAGGGGGAGCAGCTTAGCAGACACAAAGTTTTATGCAGATTACATCAAGGGCTTAAAATTTATAGGCTTTAATTTTCAATATCATTTTCGTGTGTTTGTTAGGCTGTCACTTCTTTGCAGTTTCATGTTGTTATATACAACCTGAAGGGGACTACATAGTAGTCAGATGGGAGTGGCAGAGGACTTCTGTTAAAAACTATGAGAACATTAATAGATAAATAGTTTTGTATCTGGACCATAATTTGAAAACTGGTGTTCCTGAAGAGATTTCCTATTTAAATTACTTAAAGTGCCTGAGTTCTCACCAGCAGGATGGCAATAGTTGTTTATCACTGCCTTTCAGGAGTGCTATGATGAATTTTTTATAGACAAGAGATTTTGGTAGTATTTGTACTCAGGGCTGAGTACTTGGATAAGATGGGAGAAAGTGATCCTTCCAGTAGAACAGAGCTGCTAACTGAATTACCTGAACAAATGCCTCACAAGGCCTCCTCATGGCATCCTTATTATTAGTTTTATCACATTTTAAAACAAGATTTTTATGCATCCTGTTAAATAATTTGTGATGTTTAAAGCAAATGCTTACAAGAAGTAAAAATTCTGATATGTAATGCCTGACAGTATCCTTGCCATAGCTTTCCTGACACTAGTATTGTTGCTCCATTGCTAGTGAAGCATCCTTAGGGATTTAAGTGTTACATTTACCTTTATCAAAAAATAATTGGGTGTTTTGAGGATTTAATTGAACTGCGAAGTGCTCCAGTTATGCAGATTACATCCCAATTCCTGAAGACTGGCTTTCCTCAGAAGAATTTCTGATCCTACACACCTTAGTCCCCATCATGCACAGCTCTTTAGAAGAAAATCAGATGTAACATAAAGAGGGCTGGCGCTGGGGAAGTTGGCTAAGCAGCTGCAGTTCAACAGGCTGATTTTAAGAGATGTGATGATCTGTAAGGTCCATTCCAGCCCCTAAAATTCTGTGAGTCTATGATTTAAGCAAGGAGATATAGAGCTCTTTAATAAGTTAAAAGAAAGTATGCCTAGAAGAGAAAAGTACAAGCGGGATTTAACTGAATGTTTCAAACTTTCATTTCAAACAGAAGTGGGATGGGGAAAGATGGGATAAATAGAATGTGTCATGTTACAGTTTTTCTTTGTTTAATAATCTTTCAGAAAGGCCATGACTTCTATGAAGGGGTTCGAGCAGGTAAGCTTGCACAGCACAAACATCTCCCAAACTTAATAATAGGCAAATTCACTATTGTGCTTCTTTGGAGATTACTAGCAGTGCAGGTAGCAACAGCCCAGAGAACATTTGCCAGCTGTCCAGTTTTTATTCCAAAGCATAACAGCCATGTTGTTCCATTTGTGTAATCTCAGGTTCCTAGCATTGTTTATCTAGCTGGTAATGTAGCACCATGGAAAGGTTTCACCATTTCATTGGGAAAGCTCAAAATATATGTCATGCTGACAGTAATGAGTAGCTGCATCTACATTTGTGTGTCCAGATTTAGTGTTGCCACATAGCTGGTTCAACCAGCTGTAAGATGCTTTTAGACTCAAAGTCAAGAACAACCATTTGCATAGAAAACTGTTAGAACGAAGACTTGCTGTCCCCCATATCCAAATTCTCTAGACATCTTACTGTTAAAAAGTATAAATGTAAACTTAATTTAGCATTTTAAGGTATGGGTCAAGATAGGTAGTGGTAAAAGTAGAGCAGTGGCTCAGCAAGTTCATCTAGGGGACAGACTTCGATTCTGTCCTTGATCCTAGTGCTGATTCACTATGCAGTTTGTCACACCCAAAGTCACATCTGTTAGGAACTGTAGCCATTATTTATGTACTATTCAGCACAAGATGAAATAAAGTACAGGCATTTCTTTTTCCAAGGAGCTTACAGTGCAGGACATTTGGATGGAAAACTTTGGGTTGAGGGAACTGGCTTTTAATGCACACAGTTATATACTCAAGTATGTATTATCACCTCCTCCTCTTTTTTTGTATCTGTCTTTATAAAGCAGTTGGAAATCCCCTTGAGGAATGGATATTAGTTTGAGTGTTGGCTATTAGTAACACTGTGTTAAAGACAGCCTGGGGTGAGACATGCAAAGTTGGTTTGTACAGCATCGAAAAAATTTCTGATTCTAATTAGTTAGTCTTTACCACTTCTTAGCAGAGACTCCTGTGAAGAATTTACCACACTCCTTGAGAAGTACATGGGTTTCATTGTGTCGGTAGTGGGCACAAGGATCTCTTAAACAGACTATTCCTAGGACATGTTCTAAATCAGCATATAAACTGCTGAAACGTAGTTATTCGGGAAGTGACAAACTCAAAGTCTGAGAGTCAGAGGGACACCAAACTGAATTCCTCCTTGTAAAGCACAAGGTCACTAGACCATCTGGGGGTGAGGTACAGTACAAATGCAAATCCCTTGTCAGTGTGGCCAGGAAGTACACAAACTGCTTGCAAAGAAAGAAGCTGCAAAGAACAGCAGTTGGGAAGTTTCTCTTACACAGGATGATGCAGCAAAAGCTTAACTACATCAGGGGAAGGAAAAACCCACCCACCAGAGATGCAGCTGCACTGAGGGGATTGCTAATAATAATTGTTCTTGAAGCACTTTTGCTCTTTGCTTACTGCATATATCTTGTTCCTAGATTTTTGGCCTTAGAGTTCTTTCTCTTGTTCAAGAGTAGTACAGAATCTGACTCAAGATATTTTCTGTAGTTGGGTCTAATTCCATAAAAATCATTATCCAGCTGTGTGCTGAGCATCCTTTTTAATAGGAAGTAGTAAAATAAAGTACTTCACAGGTTCAACCATAGTGAATAAAAGTGATAAAGTGTTAAGTATTAGCTTTTGCTTTACTAAAGCATTACACTACAAGCATTTCAGAGCCAGCTGTTGACCCTATCTACCACAAAAAGATCCACCACAAAATACAGTTCAGTTACAACAGTCAAATTTTAGTTGAAGATTGTTTTTCAGCAGCCATGGCCATAGGTCAGGTTTTAATAATAGCTGTTATCTGCTTCAAACTATAATTTTAATAGTCTAGGCAAGTAGTTTAAAAGCTTTTTAAACCTGCTTTGACCTGAGGTCAGAATTTCATTTTTCTTTTAGCTAGTTTTCTTTCAACCTGAAAAATCTGCTGTGGCAAACAGTGTTCCCTGTTCATGATTCTTGTGATTAAGGAAAAGTCCAAACCCTTAAAGCATAAACCACACAGATCCTGTTTCATCAACAGTTTCCCATATAGTGCTAAATGTGGGCTTTGAACACTATAGCTATCCATTTTTCACCTTGATTTATAGAATACTGTAAGAAATAAATAAGAAATGCATAGGTCTTCCAAGAATTTTGTTTTTTAATTCTTACTGCCTAAGACAGATGATTATTTTTGCAGTCAGTGCTCAAACACATCCAGGTAAAACACAATCTCAGTAGGCAAAGGGGGCAATTACCCTCCTAACTCTCTGTGCAGGAATGTGCACTTGAAATGGAATTGTGAAGGTTTTCAGCATATTGCTGATGCTGCAAAGTGTTATTTCTGTACAGCTTCTGTGGCCTTCCCTGCAGTGCTAGCAGCTGGCAGATGGGCACCCCAACCCCTGCAGTAGGGAGAGATTCCATGGCAGCTAACAAATATCCAAGTGCTTGGAAATATCAGTGTTTTGACTGTGCTGAATGAATCTAAGCAACTAACTGAAGTCTGGTAAAGTCACTGCTACTGAGTAGAGGAGGTTGGGATTTTTATTAAATAAAAACAAAAAGATAAAACACAAGAACAAACCCTTAGGTCAATATCTGTGCTCAGTTACTTTTATCTTAATGAACTTCCCTTAGCCTACCTTAGAAGTCTTCAGAGTTTTTGTTCTGTTCTTGTAGTGATCAATCTCAAGCTGGAGAAACACAAAATATACAAAAGTAAATGCTAAAAGGGAAGATTTTCATGATGCTACTAAAGCCCAAATATTTTAACTCCTATAAGAGTAAGGACTTGATTGGAGAGACTATTAGGAGCACTCAGTTTATTCACCAGAGTAAAACTGGCCACAGATCCAAACTGAAAGATAACCTTGATTAGACACTAGTGCACTAGCTAGAGCAGTTCCTACTGTATGGCAGAGTTGAAGCTGTAGTAGCACACACATGGACTTCTTTTTTTTCCCCTTCTTTAATTTAAGAGATCCCTAGTTAGTGTTGCCTTTTGTGGATAACAGTTAAGACTATTTTATTTTTGCAGCTTCTCTCTCTGTAATGGTCACATTTTCTACTGCAGACTGGTAGACAGGCCATACCTGTCTTTTGATAAGCCACAATCTTTAGGTAGGCATTCTTGTCACTGAACTTAAAATTCCATCCCCAACATATTTTTCATCCTGGGTATTTCTAGTTTAGCCAAGTCTGGTTCGAAAGACATGACAACTTACCAGAAGAATAGCTGTTATTCTTCAGAGTAGCTGGTCTCTGCTTGTGTCCATGTACCCTTAGAGCCACCCTGCTCTTAACCCTTCCCCAGAAAACTAACAAACCAAGTCTGCTCTCAGCAGAGGAATTTGACATGTGCTTCCTCCTCCTGCCTGTCCTCTCTTATATGCTGTGGGCTGTGTTGGTCAGGAGGTCTCCCAGGACACAAGTGCATCTCCAAGTCAGTTGCTGGTATCACTCACCTGAAGAGAATGTGTGTTCTGGGGGGGTGTTGGGTAGTCATTGCATCCTGGAGAGCCACAGTTAATATAGCTGTTCTTTTATAAATCGTAAAAATTTCACATTTCTGATAGCATCTTGAAGCCTGAAAGGTGCCTGGAAGGATGGTCTGGAATTCCATTCATATTGGTCATTTTTATGCATAAATATGTGTAAAATTGTGTCTTATTGTTTGCTAGTGCAGCTGTTCTTACTGACATGCCTTCCACATTCCTGTGACACAAGGAGTGTTTTTTAGGAATTGATATTTCCCTGTTACACTTTTACATGTGATTCATTCACTGATGACGTCAGTAATGCATGTATTATGTTCAGTAATATGTTATATATGACTTCAATCATTTATTTCCCAGGGTACAGTGTAAAGTCTATGTACTAAGATTATACAAACTGTCACAGTTCAATCTACAGAGGTCTGCAGGGTCTGTCAGCATTTACAAATAAATGTTCTTGGGTTTCCCCCACAGATACTCTGCTTTACTCCTTCCCCATGAATTATTTCATTATTACTTTACATGGTGTGTTTAAATTAGCTGTAGGCATTTAACACCACTCTGAGTCATTTCCTATAGTCTCCAGAGAGTCAGATTTTGCCCAGAGGTGTAAAAGCCTTTGTCCAAAAGGAGCATCATACACTCTTCCCAGATTCACATTTCAAACACTGTGTTTTCTCCAGAGCTCATTGATTGTTCTCCCCCATGTAATGACTGAAGTGATCTGTCTGGATGCAATCTGAAGTCATTTTAATTGGCGGGAGTTCACAAGTAACTCTGGTGTTTTTCTATTCCACCTGCCAGTGCTGATTGACAAAGACCAGGCCCCCAGATGGAAGCCAGCTGCTCTAGAAGAAGTCAGTGATGAGTTTGTGGACAACTGTTTTAAGCCACTGGGAAACGATGAGCTCAAGTTGTAAAGATCAAACCTATTGACATCTTATGTATCTGTTTAATTTATGATATAAAAGTGAATAGTAGTATGATAATGTTTGACAAGACTCTTTTAGGTAGCCTGAAATTCACAAGGCTATTTTTGTTGCATTCAGGAACATTCTCTATAATGACACAATAATGGTATCTCTGCTTAATAATGGGAAAAAATCACTTCAAGGCAAATTGTTATTTTTACTGCTTTACACAATGATTAACATTTATTTTCTTTGCATCAACTTTTAGTTTAGGAGGAGCCTCTGGGGAGAGAGCATAGTTAAGGGATGACCTAATAAGTAAGAAGTAAGAGACCTTTGTGTTCTGGGCTCTCTCACTGATCTGTTAAATTGGGATTGTGCCTTAGATTCTTCCTCCATACAATGAAAATAAAATATACCTAAAGCTTTAAAACAGCCAGAACCACAAAGGAAAATGCAAGACAGAATCCATGGTGTTAAATAGCCTTTTAAATAAAAGCTCAGACTGATACATTATTAGTCTGAGAGCAAGAAACTGTTCTGTTGATTTAACATTTGGTCATTCAGCCTTGGTATGTGATGGAGACATTGTTTCAAATGTCATAATATTGCCAGAGCCTTGAGCACACTTCTGTTTGCTTGTATAGCCTGGTTTTTAAAATGCCATTAAGTCTGATGACTAAGAATTAGTTTTTCATGATTTTAAAGAAATTGCTAGTTTTTCTTGGTCTCAAAACTGCTTCAGCCCTTCCTGTGAACACCAAGCAGCACATTTCTTGTGCATTAAAGGGTTCTGAGACTGGTAATACATGAAGTTACAGGGCATAATCAGAGGCCCTTGATAAAAGTATAATGATTTTCTATTGTGTACTCAACACATAGTTGAGTAATCTAAACTAACAATCCTTCCTCAGCAGAGTTCCTGCATGTTTTTGTATGGTTCATCAAGTCATGGAGCAGTATTTCTTCTCTCTTATTTCACAATTATAAGCAGGTCACAAACACAAATTTTGGCTTCTCTGAAGATCAAGCACTGAGCCTAAAGGAAGAAAATTTTTGTTCAAATAACACAGTCAGTAACCAGCAACAAGGAATCAGAAAGAGCTACAGCAGAACCATTACAGAGTTTTGAACACTGGGCAGTTTTTATTACCTACAGCGGCTTAAGGCTCCTTCCTTTGTAGGAGCTGTTGCCTGGAAACAAAGTGCAGGAAAGTCAGGCATCAAGGTGAACTACCAGAGTGACTTTCAAAGAATTAGAGGTGAGCAAATGAGAGCAAAATCAGGAAAAAATAGTACCTTGATTTGTCACTAGAATCTTTTGAGATAAAATAGCTAAAATTTCAGCTGTGAGAGAATGTTACCATGTACATATTTGTTATGAGACTGTCCTTGAGTTTATTTTCAGAAGTATTTGAGAGAGTTCATGAATACCTTTAGGGTAATTCTGAAAATATGACTTATATTTCTACCTCAAGCTTGTTCTGTAAGAAGTGTAAACCTCTGCCCTTATTTTTTTAAATTTTTATACATTTTAGATCATTAAACAATGGCTGTTTTGAATTTATTTTTTAAAAGGTTGGTTAATTTCAGTACTTTTGTACAAAAGGAACAGTCTCCAGAGGCTCTATTTAATGAAAAACACAGTAATCCCCAGGGAGCAGGGATCATGCCTTCTCTAACTGTAAAGGACTAATATGGTTTTAGCAGAAATACACTTCTGAATTAATAAACTTTGACTTGCATGTTCAGTTGCTTCCGAACTTGGTGTGAACAGGATTATCTCAAACTCATGGTAAAAAGATCTTGTCCAGGCTGTGCATTTTTATCAAATAAAAGGCATACAAGCAGATGGTAAGTTGAATTTTATTTGGTCCACAAGAAAATATTTTCCACAAAAAAATATTGTAAAAATATATTGTACTGTGTTTTATTTGGGAATACTGATGTGTCTGTAAAATTGACATTTCTGGAGTAAAAGTTGTGCTGCAGTTAATGTGTTTTGAACCATTGTTAGAATATCAAGCCAGTCACATCATATCCACTCAGACTAACCTTATGTTTCCTGGAGAAAATATAAAGCAAATGTATTTATAACTCCTAACCAGAAGTAAACAGTTTTGCAGAATATGCCAGTCCCAAACTGAAGTGCCTTTATTACTCAAAATCAAGTCAAAGAATCAATGGCAACTTAGCTGGAAATCCACCCTAAGTGGCTTTATAAAGCTGTGGCACAGCTTACCGTAACCTAATCATAAGTAAACAGATGTCATTTCATTTAGGTAAAGAAGTCTTTATTTTTATTATGTATTAGCATTGTGCCTATTAAGTACACAGCAGAACTCTGGAAAGAGAGCTCCTTTGGTCCCTCACCAGCCTGTAGTACTGAGCAGATTTTATTTCTGTTTTATTAAGGGTAAGTGCATTATTTATAAGGACAGTGTCTTGTAAAAGAGCTGATTTTCCTGGTGAGAAGCTGTCCCTCTTGTTTGCAAGCTTGTTTGCTTTCCATTAGCTGCATGCTTCTCCTGAAGTGCCAGTGTCAAGGAAAGTATCATAAACCAGCTGGAATTGCACTTCAGGCCATACTGGAGCTGTTATAATCTTCAAGCACTAACGATGGCAGACAAGGCAGGTAAGTGACCGGTTGGACCCACCAAGCAGCAGGTGGGAGTTGCTGCTCTCCAGGCCAGCACTGCAGCCATCCCACACAGCAGGCACTCCAAATGGAAGCATGTTTAATTACACCTGGGTAACTTTCTCCTTTGGGGAAATTCTGAGTATTTATCAGATGTAACTTCAGGCTGGTTTATGATCCTGCCTGGACGGTGCAGGGGCAGCCTGCCAGCAGAGAAGCTGCTTTCAGAAGTGCATCTGATATTCCTGAAGAGTGTCAGATGCTAAGGCTACAGCCAAAGAAAGGACTTGAGACATGGGAACAGCAAGCACTGCAACACCTAACTCCCCGTGGCAGCCACCAGGGTGTTTGTACCAGGGTCAAGGCAGACAAACCTAAATGCACGCTGAAAGCAAGTTCAGGTTTGTATCTGCTGTTCACCTCCCTGGCCAAGAATGGCTGTGGAGTTTGGGCTTTGTTAACTACTCTGTTTAGCAGTGTTCATGTTCTTGAGTGAAGACTCATGTTAGAAAGGTTGGCCTTTTTTTTATTTTTTTTTTTTGCAATAATGCTTTATTTTAGCTATACGGAATCTTTTTTAATACTGTGTTTAAGCAGTATCCAATTTGTATGTACTGACCTGATCAGTGTTTTGGCTTTGCTTTCTAACACCATAATATATGGAGGGTTTTTTGATAGAGCAAACATAGGATAGGATAGGATAGGATCTAATGTTTTATATGTTGCAAAACTTCAAGGAACATCACTGTTAGCAGTAGAATTTAAGTGAGCTATAATGCCTTAGTCCCACTCTGCATATGGCTTTGAAGATGACTATGTTACTTCAAAGAGGATGTTACAGCATAAGCCAATTCTGTTCCCTTTTTCAGCAAAAGCCTGAGAACAGTCTGAGTAGCAGAGTCCAGTCTGGTCACTGAGAGTTAATGGCAGCCTCGTGCTGTGCCACAAAGAAGCATTTTTCACCACTCTTGATAAAACCACTTCCCCATATAGGTGAATTTCAGATAACTAAGTTTGTGTCACAACATTTGGAAAACAGCTCAATTCGTAGACTGTCCTGTGTCTAAGCTAAAAATGAAAATTTATATGGCCCTCTCTGCTTGCTTCCCATTACTTGAAAAATCCTGCTTTTTATCATTTACTAGAACTACATGTACCTTTCAAAAATAGTATCAGCTTTTGCCAGTATGGAAAGCATTTCTCTATAAAATGGAAAGGAAAAAGAATTATGTCTTTTAAACTGGCCATCACAGAAAAAGGAACAGACAGGTGGTCAAAGCCCAAGCTGCTACAAGGCCTTCACTTTGTATAAAATCGGCAACAATGTACCTTTGAGATGGATACAATTAATTCATCCCTTTCCTCAATTTCCTCAAATGCTCGTTACAGGTACAGCGGGTCAGGCTGTGAGTCTTGGGGAAGGAGGTGCAGTGTGTGGATGCAAACTAGATAAAATGGGGGAACAATGTAGCCCTTGAGCATTGGGCCTAAGGCTTAGTCACTAACTCAGTGCATACAGTGCACTGCTCAGGGTTTGGGCTCCTGCAGCGTTGCCTTACAGACTTACCGACGGGTAAGCGAGAGCCTACAGAAGCTGAGGGAAGATGTCCTGTCCCAAGGGTGATACTTCAGAGAGTGTCCTACAACACTGCCACACCTTTGAAGGTTCATGTTGCTAGTTAGCATCAGTAGTTTTTGCACACCTATCTGGGGTACAGCAAAGCAACCCAACCAAATCCCCCAAACCAGCACCCCAACATGAAAAAAAAGACCCCAAACCAATAAAACCCCAAACAGCTTTGGTCTGAACACAGTGATCAGATGTCATTAACCTATCTTACTGCAAGATTTAGAGACTAGCTATCATGTGTTTACAGAAGCATCTGTTGATTATAATGCACTGTTTGTCAATACTGTCAATGTTCCTCACTAGTTCACTGCGGCATGGAAGCTGAATAGTATCATCAGCCATACAGTTCCCTGAATACTACCTGGTTTTGTAAAACACTTCTCATCATCTTCATTAATTTGTGGTATACAGATTTAGTCAGATCAAAGAATCCAAAGTAAAACTGATGACAGCAGTTACCTTTGCTACATGCAGACCTTGGTTTCACTTTAGCAAAACACAGACAAATTTACCAAGCACAGAGAGTTCTTCTCACCTGCAGACAGGCCACTGATCTTTTATGCAGTATATGGAAATAATCCACACTTCATTGTTCAGTGTCGCTGGAGCCTCTGTGGCAGTGCTGGGACAGCTGCAGGACAGCCACATTCTTCTCATCCTCTTTTTAACACTAAATTTTAGTCACATCCAACACGTACAAACACAGAATATACTCAACGTATGGCTGACAGCAAATGACACTTGATGAACAGATTCTACTGTGATCCAGTTAGTTTGTTAGCAACATAGGTTGAAAGCCAAATTTTTCCAGCCTCTCCTCACAAACACACCCATACAGTGGAGCTGTGCCCAAATCACAGCTGATCTGACTCTCTGTGCACTAGTGGCAGGGACAGACTGTGCAGCAGCCAGGCCAGGCTGTGGGGCCAGCCCCTAGCTCAGGGCACATCGCTCTCGATGAAGGGGATGTCGCTGTACTTGCTCTCAGTCACTGCCCACTGCTTCACTGCCTGGTCCAGGATCTCCCGGGACAGCCTGTGCGCATAGTCCAGCACCAGAGTGCTCGAGGGACCTCTCTCATCCACCTTCACTGCTATCAGTGAGGACTTCTCCCCAGTGCATGCTCCATTGCCTTCCCCAATCCTTTCATCCTGGATAGCGTTTGACCCTTGAAAGGCAGCCTTGGATTTGATGCATCCCATGGTACATTGGAGAATGCAGCTGCAAACTTCAGCTCAGCAGCATGTTTTGATACCCTGGAAGCACTTCCCTTGTTTGTTGCAGTGTCGCTGCTTCTTGCCAGTGGCTCCAGTTATTTTCATAGAACAGAACATCTCCTTTTGTGCTTCGTCTGAAGAAATCTGTCAAAACAGTGTTTCATATAAAGGCAATGAATAGTTTACCATTGTCAGTGAGTTCAAAGGAAAGCTAAATTCACTGCTTGTAGCAGCAGCTTTAATAAATTGCACAGTGTGCATAAAATGTTTTTATTGGTAACATCCATCTACTACAAGTAGGCAAAGTTTGACCTGAATTCAGGCTGCCTTTGAATGCAATTCCCAGTACAGGATGTAAAGCCATCTAGGAATGTAAAGGTCGTAGACAAAATAATAAAGTCTGTTTCTTCCAAGCTGACAATGCATTTCTCTTTTCCTGAAACTGCAAACAAATCCTGTTTAACTCCAGGCACTTCTGCTGCAGGAAACAAACACCAAAACTACCCCACAGATGCACCACCCAACCATCATCACCAGAGCCTTGTGCCTTGGCTGTCACACACCCTTTGGGCAGGATGACATTAATTCCCAGTGTCATTCTGCTGTTGCTCAAGGAGGCTGGAGCACACAGCCACCAGAAGGTATTCACAAGGAACAAGAGCTGTTTTTGTTTTTCCCTGGAGAGGTTAGGGAAAGCAGCAGCAGCTTGCTGTGATCAAGGCAGTTCCAACAGAGCCAGAGCACCATTCTCACTAAAGCAGGACAACTCTACATCCAGATATGGGATGGTGATGAACAAAACACCTGACAGGGTCCTTTTAAACTCCTCAAGGTCCAGAATTGGTCATCTCTAAGTTCAGTGGTTTTTTAGTTTACTAGCCCACAAAGCTGTTTCTTGGGCTACTTTCTTTGTACAGGCAAAGCAGATTCTCAGGATATGCCTGACTTTGCTTGGCATGCACTTACCCACTTATCAGAGTTAACAGACTGCCAGCCAAAATAAAGACTGTGCTTGCACAGAAACCAACTGTTCCCTACAGCTTCACCCAATGACGTTGTACCGAGGTCAGCCAAAGTTAAAGATTTTTTCCTAAATAGCCTTTGAAAACATAATCATGGCAAAGATGTTAAGCCTTATTTATTTCCTTTATACACTGGAGGAAGTAGAGGCTCCGATCCAGTAACCTGATCATAGGCAAATATTTGCAGAGGAAATCAATCCCATTTGCAGGTTTCACAGGTAGGACGGGACTTCCCCAGTCTACAGCTAACTCAGGAGAACCAGGTGACATGGGGACAAGCTCCTCTCCTCCTTCTGCTGATCATAAAAATCATCACTACCTGCTGAAGGGCTGAAGTGCCAGCAAGTAGAAAGGGTGGGTGATGTTCCTGGCACAAAGTCAGACCTAAAGGGCTTCTGAAACCACAAAATCCATACAAATGTTGTCATACCTTCAGCTTTGTATCAGAACATGTCAGCGTTTTAGAGGAACAGTCATAAATCACTTCAATAAAATTCAGTGAGTTTCTTTCATGCATATTGACATGCTGCAGCACATTTCAGAGCAGGCAGCACAGTTAACAATCCTGTAACACAAACCCTGCTCCTATCACTTGCAGTTTTACCTGACACAGGAGAGCCAAACTATTGGATTTTTACTCTAAAAACTTGTCATTAGACAAGTAAAAGGCAGGAACTGCACAAGAAACTACATTTATCCCTATAGATGTTTATAAAAACCCATTATCTTTATACCCATGTCTATCAACCATATACACTGATGAAACTTAGAGAACATGCTCACAAGAGCAGAGGCCAAGAAGTCTGAAAGCAATTCAGACAGCTAAATAATTAAAAACTTTAATGGCAATATCTTGTGCATGTCTAATTTCAATATTTATCATTAATAAAAATAAATTCCACTTGCTTTTCTAGACAAATAGGTAGTTTGAAATATATAACATGGCAAAGAATCACTAACAGCAGCTTCAACCCAGTATTGCTGATCCCTGAAAGCTGCAGTCTGTGTCCAGCCGAGGTAACAGAGAGCTTCACTGGCAGGTACACAGGTGTGCTGCCTAATTCCTTCTTGCTACATTACTGGTAACAATTAGAAGGTTTATTATAACAATTATCAGCTGTAACAGCCTCCTTAGGCTTAGCCAAGACTATAAACTCTGCAGATTTAAACCTCAGATTCCCCAGTCATATAAATGCTCTATGCCAGAGCTGATATAACAATGTATTTTAATCAGAACTTCATCCCTGACACTTTATTTAAAATACTATTTAGATTTGATTTTTTTTGGAGTCATAGTCTTTATATGCTTTTTTTTTTTGGTGTTTTTTAAAGGAGGTCTTATAAATAGAAGGTGGCTTTAGTTAGTATTTTATCATTGCTTTCATATGTTTCCCTCCTCCAACTGGAGATTCCTTTTCCTTTTCTGTTAGGGGACACCAGCAGGTGAGTTGGTGTCTAGCAAATAAGGAGAGAATGTGCGTAGAGGGAGGATAAACATCTCCTGAAATAGGTAGGGAAAATTTCCCTAAGGTCAGCATTGTCCTCTGCAGGATTTACCCATTTCCACCTTCTTACCTCTGCCTTTTGGGCTAAACCAAACGTCTGTGTGACTCCTACACAGAGGAAAGGGCGAGCTACAAAGCTTGTAGACAGCAAGGCAAGTAATGCAACTCGATTGTTCCAAATTGATTACTAGTTGAGCTTAAAAGCAAAGTTATCGACCCTAGTTTAAACTCTTGCCTGTTGCTCCTTTCATTATTTATTGAGCTCGGTACTTTCCAAGTCACTGCAGTAAGTTTTTAGTTTCCCTGCTCTACTGGAGTTAATTGTTGGCACAGAAATGATCACAAATGAAGCTGCCCTCAATTTTCTGACTGCTTCCTTGTTTTTCTGTCAACCATTGCTTACACACACATGGTGGAGCACTGTTTAAATCCTCTCTGCCTAACTCATCTCCAGAGTGTTCTGACAGGGATTTTAACATCTCTACCTTTCCTCACAATGCTCACACCATCAGAGGGAAAAAACCCACCAAAATAAAGCAGCTCATTTTACTCCCAGCAGAATGTTTCATTCAGGAACTGCACAAGGCAAAATGGTCTGATAGGAGTCTCTTTCTTTCAGTGTCCAAACTCAAATCTGTTGCCAGTTGTGTCTCAGAAACCACTGTATAGATGGTTCGAGGCTCAGGCCAAAATCTCTGCAGATGCAGTTCCTCACATGACAAACTACAGGGCTTAGCTGAAGGCAGAGGTCAGGGAGCTGCAGTCTGCTCTGCTACACTGGCAGCCAGGAGTTAAAGCCGCACCAGCACAAACCTTAACACATCTTCTCTTTATAAAGACTGATTTTTGACCTAGTGAAATGTTGATTTAATTCATCTAAAAAATACAGGCTCAGAGTTGTGCTCAATTTTACTCATACAGTCAAAATTATTACCTTCAGCACAATCAACACTGTGTATTATTTTAAGGAAAATCCTGAAAACTATCAATTCCACACTGGAATTGGAAGTTCCCAAGGATATGTTCAGGTGTTGTTTCACCTATTATGTTATTTACTACATGTATGACCTGTGGTAATACAAGGAAAGAGAAAATACAATAATCCAAGGAAAATTGTGCCACATAGCTGAAGTTATTTTGCGTGGGAGGGCTGAGCAGCCTCTGCCAGCCTGGCTAAGCGTTTCCTGCCAAGGTAAGTTAATTTCTAACTACTGAAGGAAACAAGACAATGGTGAAAAGATGCCTGCAATTCACTATTAGACAATATATAATACAGGGGGAAAAAGCATGAATAGCATAACTGCCATTTTACCAAACAATACTTAGGTATTAAAATAATAAAATATAATTATGAAAGAGTAAATGTGAGCTATCAAAAAACAAGAGTTTCACCTGTCCTCTGGAATACACCTTTATATGATGAAGACAGGCAAAAGAGCAATAGTTTTGCTGTTATGCAACATCTCTAGCTATCTTAGGCAAATAAGATCCTGCTACCATTAAAATGTCTTCCATCCATAAGAACCTTGGAAAAAAAATAATCTTGTCATTCAATGCTATATATACTGCAAGGAATTTCTCTTTGTAACACGTTCTGCTATAGCAGTCACCAGATTAAAATTAAGTCCTACTTTTCAGAACAGCTTAGTGCAGCTTTGCCC